GAACCCGCACCTCTCGCTTTCCGGCTACCAGTTACGCTACCGGGGCACCATTTCATTCCAACTCAGCTTTTCATGGTATACGTACCATAGCTTTCAGCACTCACACGTATAACGTGTTGAGCCGGTTAGCCGATATCGGCAATGACCGCGAGGCTGAAAGCTTTAGCAATGATTTTTGACTTGTTTTTGTTTGTCTGTTTTTGGCCGCAGTTTTTTGTTCACAACCCAGCATTCTTGTGAAACATTCGCAAGGCGAACTGCGGCCAAAACAGCAGTTAACAAACAAAAACAAGTCAAAAATATTGAAGATTAGTTTCACTATTGAGTTTTCCAAGCATAATTATGATAAAACCTTAATTTTCTCAAAATGTATTCTTGATGTGAAGTTGCGAGAATTTCATGGAAGATAGGTGCAGCGACCTCTATTAGGGCCCCTGTAGAACTTTTACTCTTGAAGAGTGTCCGATGGCGATGGAGCTAGGAGAATTATTGGGAAAGGGATTCAGAATTTTTTATCATAATGTGTATTTGTGTGCTGTAAGATTTGTATTTCAGGTGTTTTTCAATCACGACACTTTTGTACAGGATCCCGACGTGCCTGCGAGACCTTACCGCTGGATAGATGCAAAAAATAATGCTGCCTGGAGTCAGGTAAACTTTTTTTGTATGGAGTATTTTATTCCACGATTTGTGCTATCGCAGGTTGTATATGGACCTGCACCTTTTTCGTTCTTCTCTATTGCTGTGATGACTGACTCGTTTGATGACTCTGGTCGTTACAACAAGGATCCTGTGCTTTCGACTGTTTTCGAGAAGTATTCTCTTCAAGTAGGTTCAAATTGAATATTTTGACCTGGGGAATCGCTTGCCTTAATGAGTCTATCAGATACGATTTTATATTTGGAATTGTTCTAGTCGGAGGCTCAAAGGCTACTATTTTCCGAGCAAAATCAAGCGCCTGTGAAGCCGGCGTCCATAGCCACTATGAGAGAAGAACATCATGAAGCGCGTTCTTGGGTTCGTGGTAATTTTGTTCTAGCCGAAGGCTTTTTTTGCTTCTTCATAAAGGAGGTGTTTTAGGTCACTCTACTGTGAGAGATGTTAGTGCTGTGAAGCTGCAGATAAAGCGATGGCTTTCACATATGTAAGATGCTGAACGCTAAATGTACGCGCAAGATGTGCGCGTGCCTCTATTCGCGGTGGATTTGACGGTTTCGATCGGTATGATAGGTATCTTAATAGTCTCATGTAGTTTCTAGTTGTGACACGTTCTGTGAATCTGGTTAGCTCGTGCTCTTCAAGTGACTGATCAATAGGCTTCTGTCCTATCGGAGCGCCTTTTAGTCGTCTGCCTCATTTGAATTATTTTTGTTGATTGGTCTTTCCGGGATTGCTGTGGATGGTTGCAGGAGGACCGCTGCGGACGCGATGATTTCAGCCGAGGCGCGAGCTCTGTTTTGGGTAATCACAAGACGTTTGAGCAAGACTAAAAAATAAGATGCGGTACCGACTCGGGCTTGTTTTTTGAGCAGTTGCTGGGAGTCATGCGAGGAAGACTCGTAGGGCACGCCATCAACAGGCAGCTAGGGTGGAACATTCTATTTCTGCAATGTCCGACTTTCCGCCATCCTTCCTCGTTTTTGAGCTAATAGTTGATGTTTCATATTAACTTGTATACTGTGTCTCAGTCGTGTAGTGTTTCAGACGGATGATTGAAAATTGCGCTACCCCTTCATTTTAGGGAAGGTATTCGTTCGCATATTGAGATGACGGCACATCTTTTGGTCGAGGAGTTGTGGTGGCGCTCAAAATTGTGGCATTGTGTGGATAAGGAAACGAAAATGATCCTAAAGAAAACGCTGAAATCAGAAGTGGATGAGGCATGTAATTCAAGATGTCTTTATTTTGATGAACTTTTTGAAAAATGTTGTTTCAGATTTCGTCAGGCCTTCAGCGATTTCGAGAACAGATGGAGCTGTTGTGGTTGCGACAGTTTTGGGATGTTTGGCGTGATCGAGTATTGGAGAATCGTCGTAAGCGCCAAGAACGTCGGCATGATTGGGAGACATTCCGAGGCGTTTGGAATTGTCAGAAGTAAGTTGTACTTTCTGTTCCGACGACAATCATAGTTGCCCTTGCATCTTTAGGATGAGACGGCTTTAATCCACTACCTATTGATTGCTTCCATATAACTTTTTGATCTTATTACAGTGTTTTCACCATCTAATTATGCAAAGCACAGTGAAGTTGGTCATCAAAGCAAGGCCTCGTTAGCTCTGTGAGTTGGCTTTGTTATTTAGTTTTGAAGCCACTATCTGGTGATTTGATCGGTCAGAGGTGAAGAAATGTAGTAAGGGAAGGAAGAAGAGCTAGTGTGGTGTAGTTAAAGAAAATGTCGTTCATTTATTTGTTCAATTACGACTGTTGTCACAGCGTAAATCGTCCTTATAAGTCCTTTTTGCGAATTGGGCTTTTTGAATTCAGCTTCTGGTGATAAGTTTTGACGCTTCAACATCGAAGTTCTGTTGCAAGCACTTATGCTTTCTTTATTCCTTTGGCTAAGTTAAACTGAAAATGCTTCAGGACAGTACTACTGTAAAGTCTCTGTTTAGCGTTGACAGTCAAAAAATACGGTTCTCGCTGAAGCTGGTGCAGTTCAAGAAAGCCCGGTCAAAAAGAATTATGCGGAAGTACTTTGATAAATGGCGAAAGTACGTTGAAATTCGGCGAACTCTGCATAGCTTGGCTAAGGTGGGTCAGTAGAAAGGTTACGTTGCAGAACAGAATTTGTTGGTTCCAAACAAGGAATGCTATGCGAATAATTACCTATTTCTCTCTTCTTTTCTACGAAATAATCTTCACATATCTACAACTATCTGTAACACTCAAGTGGAACGAACATCACCGAATGCTCCAGCTACGTGTACCTAGGTCGGGAAATCAATATGATGAACGATCTAGCTCCAGAGCTGAGCAGGAGGAAACGAGCGGCTTGGGGAGCGTATAAGAACATCGAGGGAGTAGTGAAGAAGACGAAGAACATCCGGCTCCGTGCCCACCTCTTCGATTCCGCTGTCCTTCCTGCCCTAACCTACGCCTCAGAGACTTGGACTCTGCGCAGGCAGGACGAGCATGCGGTCAGCGTTATCCAACGCGCTGTCGAGAGGACGATGCTAGGAGTAACCCTATACACGCAAGTGCAGAGGGGAATCCGGAGTTCCGAACTACGCCAACGATCGAAGATCAGGGACGCTGCCGTTTTCGCCAAGGAATCGAAGATAAGGTGGGCCGGACACGTCATGCGATTTTGCGATGACCGTTGGACCAGAGCGGTTACCGACTGGATCCCTCGGAATAAGGACATCGCCCCCCTTAAAGCCACGAGTCAGGATTAGGTGACCATAGAAGGCCTTTCCATCACTAATATTTCCAGGAATGCGCTCAGAGGGGTGATGCCACACTCCTGACTCGAGATTGCGCGCCGTCAAGGCCTCTGGCCTACTACTTACAGCGATGGGTTCGTTACATCAGCTG